TTATTGACAATGTCATTAAAATTATCAATTATTTAATTAATGTACAGTCAACCACGAAAATGAAGAGAAAATCAATAATCAAAATTAAATATAATTTTTATCTATACTAATAAATGGAGAGCCGATTTTTTTGTTCGGTTATACTGCGATAACTACTGAACCGATCGGAATAACACTCATACTATAAGATGCAGCGTGTTTCGGAGAAGGTTTTAGTATATGATATGTTGGTGATTAATGGACTATGCGAGCGGAGCCGCAGGAAAATGCTAGTTATAGATAAAACGATGTAAAAGTAGTTATAACCGGCATTTATAGCTAATTCGTATCGAGCAGTACAAAGTCTGAAACTTTATCGCATCATTCAATGATATACTATGCTATACTTATTCGTATACAAATCCATTAATAATATTGCAATTAATCTATCTTTCTTTATATAAAATGAAGTTTTAATTGAGAAATTTATTTATGACTAGCGACTAACCCTCGCTTCGCTCGGGTTCGTCCCTTGCTTGCTTCCCGATACAAACTTACATCCCCATTTTCACTCCTTTAAGGAATAATTTCCGGGATAAAAAGTATCCCATGTGCTTTTCAGGGTCTCACACTATCTTCTTACCAAATTTCATCTAAATCGGTTTGGTAGATCCAGAGATTATCACCTACAACGTCACAAATTCACAATTCAAAAACGTTACCTCTGTTATACTATTAGTATAGATTACCAATTAGGTCAAAATGTTGAAAATTTTAATTTCTATTAGTGTTCGACCGAGTGGTCGAAATTTGTCCATAACCGTTATAGAAAACTTATTTGTATATGTACTTATAAATAAAATTTACCTACCTATATAAATAGATATTAACAGTTTTCAAAAAATATTTTTATGATAATAACAGCACGTCAATAGCTACTAAATAAAAAAAAAACAGTCGAAAAATCTGTCGACAAACAAAGGTTCTTAACTGTTTTTTTTGTCTGCTGGGCGTGGGCCTCTCTTTAATACTAGGGGGAACAGGCCATAGTTCACCACGCTGGACAAGTGCGGACAGACTTCACAGGTCTTTCGAATACTTGCTGGGTTCTCTCAGATGTGCAGATTTCCTCACGATTACCTTCACCGTAAGACAAGTGGTAATCATTTTGGAAATGATTCGAATATATCAGAGATGCGAGACCTGGGATTTGAACCCACTTAACTCGGTTTCTCATATTTTTATACATAACTAACGGCTTACCCTCGCTTCCCTCTCGTTCGCCTCTAGCAAGACAAAAACAAACATATCTCACGAGAACCGTACATTTTTCGGGGATAATATTAGCCCATGTGTTATTCTATCTCTGTGACAAATTTCATTCAGATCCGTTCAGTCGCTATGGTGGGAAAGAGTAACAAACATCCATACATACGCACAAACTTTCATATTTATAATATTAATATATAAATAATAATACGAATTATGTACATTACTAAAGGAGTACGGTGCCCATGTTGACAACTCAGTTTGCCGCTGTCTTCATAATTCCAATAAGCCACTTTAAAACTATATTTGTGAAATATTCACGAAATGAGTGATTTCAGTCATGCATGCAAACGACTGTTCTGGTACTAGCAGAACCCCGCTTCGGTCGTGCTAAAACTACAAAAAAATCTCTAAAAAGGTAGTTTCATACAAATTTTCATCCTCTATTTTACCCCCTTGTAAGAAGACTTTCGAAAAACGCTAAACTGCTTATTGAAGAGCATTAATACTAAGTTTCAAGTAATTCTGATCATAAATATTTTTTGGACTATATTACAACGTCTTTTCCCATGGGAATTAGATAAACTCTCGGCAATAAAAAATAGCCTGTGCCACTTTCCAGCCCTCCAACTATCTCCACACAAAAAATCACGCCAATCGGTCACCCCGTTTCGACGTGAAAGAAGGACAAACAAACAAATAAACACACTTTCACATTTATAATATTAGTATGGATGTACTTAACTTTAACCGCTCAACCATTTGCAACGTATTTAAGAGTAGTTGTAAGAACTACTTACTAAAAAAATTTTTCGCTTATTTTAAAGTTAATGCCATATTTGAACAGGTTTTGGCATCTTAAGTTTAAGAACCTATGTACGTATGTCTGTATGTATGTATGTCTATTACTGTGACTCTAACATACATTTTTTACCTTTCATTTGTTGCTATATTATTTATTGATAACGTCTACCGTGTAACACCAGTTCGTTTCCTGCGAGGGATGAATATGTTTCCAATACAAATATTGGTTCAGATTTAATAAAAAAATATATCCAACGTTTTCCTAAAAGCAGACAGGAATTGTGACTCACTGAAATTTTCTCAATATTAAATTATATTTATAATTATTACAATATAAACAAATGATATCTTTGTTTAGTTCTCGAGCCAATATTGTGTACATATAAACCCTGTTATCTATTTAAGTGGATTTTACCAGTTTTCAGAGACCACGTCGACCTCTCACCTAAATATCAGTCAGTCTATGCATGGATGATATCTAAGTAATATTGAACCTATTGCACATCTCTGCCCCCTTTAAATCGTTACGTAAACACATGACAGGCAGTTCCAAGGCCGAAAAAATTCCAGTGTGCTTCAGGGAGTTATCATGTTATTTCGATTTTGAGGTAATCAATGAAGGACACGCCATATACATTTTTAATGACAATGTTTTTTGAGAACTAAAAAGATAATTATGTAAAGTGGAATACAAGTTTGTTTTGGAAATTAATTAGTTTAGAATTATGTACGCATACTGTTCAAGGTGACTGAAATTAATTTTATTTCTTTTTGAGACTAGATAGGCAGATAAGTAGGTAAGTTAGTAGGTAGGCATATAAGTAGGTAGGTAGGTAGGTATATAAGTAGGTAGGTGAGTAGGTAAGTATTTAAAAAAGTATTGACATAAATACTGGCTTGTGGCAGCATTGCTCAATGTTTCTGATATTATAAGATCGACTTCTAAGTGAGAAATCGTCGTTTCTTATGTGAGTCATACATATTGTTGAAAATTAAAAGTATTGATGGGAGCAGCGTCTAATATACGATGTTTTTTGTATACTTGTTATATAGGTATGTTCTTCCAAAAGCATAATAGCTTGTGAAATGTGGGTAAAAAAATATTTAAAAAATCTCATCACGATTAAATGGTTTGGTTTTTACTTTGGTTATAGTAAAACTTCCTAAAGTTATACATCCCATTATCCTAATATTATAGATGCGTAAGTTTGGATGGATGTTTGTTACTCAATCACGCCAAAATGGCTGAACGGATCTGGATGAAATTTGGCGGAGAGAAAGATTATAGTCTGGAATAGCGCATAGGGTACTTTTTATTCCGGAAAAATATACGTTTCCCGTGGGATACATTTGTTTTTATTTTTCGCTAGGAACAAACCCGAGCGAAGCAACGGTGAGTTGCAAGTTTAAAATAAAACTATTTGTAGACTTCGGACATTCCTTTCATTTTATATTCATTTGCTGATTTTTTATTCATAACGAGTTTTTCACGAACTTTTCAAGGTTTATGCTATTTATATTTTTATTGTGATCTTTTTTATAAATTTTTCTTATGCCTTCACTGAATTTTATTATTTTGTTCTAGACATTTTAAGAGTATAATATTCGTTCTAGTACAATCACTAAGAGAATTGTGTTGAGAAATATAAGAAATTGGGTTAATTACAATATAAGTATAAATTAAAAATTTAAAAAACCCTCTACGCAAATTAATTGCAATTTAACGATTACACTGGCACGCGTGAAGCACTTAATCGAGTAATCATACGCCAAAATGCCTTACATCATTTTGGAAAAGACTTGATACTCTTACACTGCTGGACCTATATTATCGAAACATGAGAACCACCGCAAGGAAACTGGCTTTCAATTTAAAAAAAAACCGCATCGAAATCGGTCCATCCGTTTGAGAGGTACTATGCCACAGACAGACACACACAGACAGACAGACATCGTCGTCAAACTTATAACACCCCTCTTTTTGCGTGGGGGGTTAAAAAAGGAAACCTATTACTTATGATACTGACTGATACTGATATCTATTATATTAATTTGAATAATAACAGGAGCAAAAATTATTATATCTGTAAAAATTATGTCGAATTCTACCGCTTTTTTAGATATTTATACTTTACTGTCTATACTGATTTCCTGTGGTGAAGCAGCCATGTGTATTTTTACCCGGCTGCGACGAAGTCCAAAGGAGGGTTATATATATGACCTGTACGTTTGTATTTTTTTATATGTTCTAAAAAGATTCTGGTTAGGACGCGATCTACGGAGTTATATAACTTAACTGTATCGTAAAAACGGTAATACTTATAAGTAAACGGCAAAACATTTAATGTTTTGAGAGAGATTAAATAAAATATAATAATATTTATTACTAAAATACCTAGAGACGTCACTCACAATGGGCGCTGTAACCGTTATAATTAGACATGTAAACATCTATTTAGGCAGTGGTAGCCCAGTGGTTACGCGCTCGCTTGGGAAACCCAATGAAGCGGTTTCAAATCCTAGGTTTCGCACCTCTGATATTTTCATGTGCGAATTATTTCTAACATGATTACTTCTTACCTTACGGTGAAGAAAAACGTCGTGAGGAAATCTGCACTTTTGGCCATTCCTTGTAATGTCAAAAATATGCCCAGTATTTATACAAATAACATTTTTAAAATTTGAATCAATTTTTATTATAAAAACTGCAAATAATGTCAATTTAACATTAAAATTTCTAACATTTATTACCTCTCTTGTACGTGTAACTAAACTAAATCGATCATTGAATTTGTATAGATAACGACTTAATGCGTGTACTTGCTTGCGACTACAATAATAACTATATAAATAAGTCCCGTTCTATGGATCGGCAGTCAGTATTGTCAACTCACTCGATAAAACTCGATTATTAAATTTGATCCCTGAAACTTAAATTTCGCGCCGAAATGATTGAAAAAGACAAAATTATACCGGCTTTCGCTGAACTTAGTGAATTTGCCAGTTTAAGTGTGAGTATTTGTTTTGAATTTTATATTGTTATTGTTTTATTTTATTTTTTTTATTTATATATTTTTTAATTATTAAATTAAATTAATTCAATTCTTTGTTATTGAAATTGAATTATTTAATTAATATTAAAAATATATAGATTAAAATATTAAATATTTACGTTTTGATTTGACATAACTAATAACTATCAAAATGTTATGGTGTATGACATTTTAATTACAAAATAGCTACTGTCAGTTATTTAACACCCGATTGAAGTGAAGGCTTACAATATTACGTGACTTTAGAATTTAGATTAAATTTTCGGCTTCTAATCCGTCGCAATAATTCTTCACAACGATTTTTGTTACTTCAATATATAGTTAGACCTTGTTGTATAAATAGTATTAAAAGGCTGGATTTTTTTTTTAAATTGATGTATCAAAAAACTATACTAATAGATTTGAAAAACCTTGTAACGTATCTAAATATTAAGTTTAAATTGTATTTAAACATCAATTGTATGTAAAAAAATTACTCAATAACATTTTCTAATGACGTTAGTTTGATTCCCGTTTGAAATTAACATTTTATATTAAAAATTGCTAATACATTGTATTTTTATAGGCTGGAGGCAAAGTTCTTTTCTCAACGGACGATTTCTTCGCAACGTGCGAGAACATGTTGTCAGATTCTGAACCAGTGTTCATAGAGGATAAGTATACAGAGTTTGGGAAATGGATGGATGGATGGGAAACCAGGCGGAAAAGGATTGCTGGTCATGATTGGTGCATATTAAAGCTAGCAACAAAATGCGTTATACGTGGTAAGTAAAAATAACATTATAAGGAGATTTTTTTAAGATTTGTAAAAAAAAGAGTATCTAATTTACTATACTATATTTTGTTCGGTCATTTTTCATTTATAATGACTAACTGCACTGGACTAATTAGCATACACAAGAAAATACATAATAATGATTACCATGGCAACAGTCGGATCTAGTTTTGATTATCACTTCTCTCTCTCTCTCTAAAAGAAAATATAATATAACAAAAACAAATCTATCCCACGGGAACCGTATATTTTCCCGGCATAAAAGCTTATGTGCTATTTCAGACTATAATCTATCTCTGTGTCAAATTTCATCCAGCTCCTTTCAGCCGTTCTAGTGTGATTGAGTAACAAACGTTCAAACATCCATCTAAACTTTCACATTTATAATATTGAATATGAATTTGACCGACTTTAAAAGTAGGAGGTACTTAATGCGATTTGGTTTTTTGTGTATATCATCGTCATTTGCAAGCCTCAAGGGAAGTCCCTTAACTCAATAGGTGTAATAATTAATTTTTAAGTGATTTCGAATTCATTTTGTTGTTACTAGCCTAAGCTAGATGCTTAGTTTAAGCGAAGTACGAGTCGTTTTTAGTATCTTTCAACGAGATTGCCCAAATAAAAAGTCAGTCATGTATATACTAAGATAAAGAATCATTTTCTGCCACGACGAAGAAGATGAATTAAACCAACAAACAAACTTTTCCATTTATAATATTAGTAACAATGCATCGAAAATATTATCAAAAATATGAAATTTAATTTTAAATATTATTAAGTAAAAGTGAAGAAACGACTTTTAAAGCTAAGAATTCCCAAACAAAGTTTCGGGTCGTTAATAAATCATGTCGCTTTACTTTAGATTATAGAGATTACATGCCGCAAGATTTCTTCTTGTAAACACGAACTCATTTCGTTCTGATATCTCTGAATAGAATATGATAACTTGAAGTATTTATGTATTGCTTTCTCCATTCATTACTTACTAAATAGGTAATACATATCTATATCTATATTAATGTATATATTAATAAAAGTGAATGTTGTATGTTTGTCCTCTATGCATTCCTAAGCCGATTGTGATGAAACTCTGGTGGGTTATTCTGTAAACTTCTACGAAAGTTCCTGGCTTAAAAAAATTTTTAAATGACATATGAAGTCCGGCAACCCGCACTTGGCCAGCGTGGTGGACTATGGCCTGATTCCCCTCGTACTGAAAGGAGGCCCAGCAGTGGGACGTTAAAAAGTGCTGAATACAATCTTTGAATCCATTTGTCTGATTTGATTTGTGTTTAATAGCCTATATTTGAGGAAGGTTTTACGCTATCTTACAACATCAACCTTGAAGATCCCGGTCTAGAAGGTTTTACATAAAAATTCATTCAACTTTGGAAATAGATATATCCCTATCATTATAAATATACAAATACGAGGTATCTATCACTATAAGAGCTAACGTGTTAACGAACATCTACTCTTACGGGAACATTAGTGCAGAAGTAAGATAATTATAGTACACAAACTTTTTATATAATGAAGATATCGTTTGTTCTAGGTCTGCTGGTTGATACTGCGTTTTTCACAGGAAATTATGCACCTAAATATTCTATACAAGCGGCTTGCTTGACTCCTGAAGGTAAATAACTCTTAATAAAATAAATAAATAAGTTGGGACATTAACACACAGCACCATCTAGTTCCATGGTAAGCTACGAGGCTTGTGTTATGGATACCAGATAGTTGATACACTACACATACATATATAACTTTAAATACATACCTATTATAAATATAAACACCCATTACAGGAGTGCAAACATTCGGGCTCATCATACAAATGAACGCCCCCAGCGGGATTCGAACCTGCGACTGTTAGCCCAGCAAGTAGGGTCACTACAAACTGAACCAATCTTTAAGAACATTACATATTTCAATAGCTACTCGTTTTAAATGCAAAACGTTTAGATAAAAGGTTTAACTTCGCTTATGATGGGGATAATGATATTAAAGCCTGTCGGCACTGTTTAATTTATGCAACACGCGACCATTTCTTATTTTCCTAACATAATAGATTAAACTAGTAGAGTTTTATATTACTTTAAAATTTCTTTTTCTGGATGTAAGGCAAAAGTAGAGGCGACAAGACAAAGTGTTGTTCTTTACAAAGATTTCAACACTGCAATGATATATAATGGAATCTAATGGTTCTAGTGCAAAATAAAACTTAAACTTCTTATTTACTTTTCTCTTATCTTTTCTTTTTGATAGTAAACACAGTATATTGAAAATATGAACGTTAGATCACTAACAATCAACCTACGTGTGTAACGGTAAAATTAATACCTATAACTAGCGTTACGTTCGCCTGTATCAGTGCGTTCCAAGTGAGCAAAAATGCTACTGTTGAAGCAATTAGCCTAAGTGCTACTTCAGATCAACATTTTTGTACTAAATTTTATCCAAATCGGTCCAGCCGTTTCATTACGAAGGAGCAACAAACATACATACACACGTAAAAACTTTCACATTTATATTGGTCAACTGATACTTTCTTACTATTTGAGACAATGTTTTCCACATTCTGTCATACAGTAATCAAGCCTCGTTGACTACGGCGTTCAACAACAAATTCTAAACATCACAAACATCCCGAAAAATCTACACAAAACCCATATGAACAATTATTTAGAATTTATCTGAGTAAAGCGTACATTTAATGTGCGCCACCACTAATTATTTACCGTAATTATAGAAGAAGCATTATTGCCGGGAAGGGACACGCAAATGGGGTCGGCGTGCAGCAAATGTGACTTGAAACGGGTGGAACAGCTTAACTCTGACAAATGGGAGGAGATTGTCCCCATAACGGCCCTGCGACCCGGCTACGAGGAATCCAGAATGAACTATCAGAAAGTAAATGTTTCTTTTCATGAGCATATTGGAATCTTTTTCCCATATTGATTTTGAATCAAATAGTTTTATCAGTTTGATAGTAGAACTTATTATTATATTCAAAGTATGTAGAATGTATGGAGTTATTTTTTATTAAAATATTTGAAATATAATGAACATAAGTGGAGGTATGAATGAAGAGAAAGAGGTATAAGAGTAGGTCTGTAGTCTATAATACAATAATTAAATACATATTGATTCTTAGTTAATACAAATAATTATTAAAATTAAATATAAAATATTATACAAACTTATTACAGTCATACGTATTATTAAAATAATATTATGCTATAGGTACTTTCCGACGAAGCCTGGACCCATATAAGGGTGAACATTTACCCGGATGGTGGTATCGCGAGACTGCGAGTGTATGGTGAAGCAAAACCGGAGTTTCCACCCAGTGATCAAATCGTTGATCTGGCCTGTATGTTGTCAGGAACTACATGCTTAGGTAATTAATTATATTATTATTTACTTAGTGGCTGCAGTTCGATCATAATCATGATCGTAAAATTTGAGAACATACAATATAAATTAGTTTTTAAAATAAATTATTGATAACACTATAGCTGTCAATAGCCATTACGCAAAAAAAGAAGAAAATCGGTAGACAAACGAGGAGAAAAAGGTGCTAAGCTGTTTTGTCTTTGCCCATTTATATACATAATACTACTGCTTTCTGTCCACGACTCCGCTGGCGTGTAGATGTGTTTCCATTCTGAGTATAGCCGTTACAGCGCGAAGAAGTTACAAACTTACGCTACTTCCCTATTTATAATATAAGTATGTTATTTGTAAAATACGCACGATAAATACGTAAGATACGGACGTACACACGTTTTTCATCACAGGTAATATGTACTTGTATATTATTGTAGCATAATTTACAAATGAATTCATTTGTACATTAATCTTATACGAGAATCGAACTGCCAACCTAAGCACGCAAGAAATTAATCAAAATATTTAGAAAACATTTATAAACATAAAATTTGTTTTGTTCTGCGAATGCTGTTTCAATTTTTTAACTCGCTATCGTTTATGTAAAGAAGCTCTCAGTGATATGTGAGAATTAATAGTATCGCGTCCACAAATTCTATCCCAAGACGATCCAAACGAATTGCTGCAATTTCGCAAACTGCACACTTAAGACTCTTCTTTGTCACGATACCATTCATGCATCTAAATTGTGAATTTCCTCGCTCGAGCGCACTCAGCATCTAGTTGGACGTCTTGTAATTAATTGTTGAATTTAAATTTATATTCATTGATTTAAATTTAGAAATATTAATATTTAAATAAATTACAATTTAATTTAAAATTAATGTATTTTTTTATATTAATGGTTAGTCGATAGTAATATCTGACGATATACATGTATTTGAAAAACTGATGGTAGCCATGTATATACAGACAAATGAAACCACCTAGCACCCGCAACGCTCCCATTTTTGTGTCTACATATTACTTATTTTAAATACGAACCGAAGCCCTTCTAGAACAAACTCGATACTCTCATTTCTATTGGTTATAATAAGATTATTGTATTAAAATAAAAAGTTATCAGTGTGTTTGTATGTAGATGATCATCACTTAACCCTTAATAAACCTAGTATTTAATGATTTTATTCATTACAGGTTACTCAAACGCACACTACGGTCATCCACGAAATATAATAAAGCCTAGTAAAGGAGAAGCAATGTATGATGGATGGGAAACAGCTAGACGCTTAGATAGACCTGAAGTACTTGAAACTACAGAAGATGGCACTTTAAAAGTAACAGGTGGGTTTTTTAGAGTTAATTTATCTATATAGATAGAAATGTAATGTTTGTTTGTACACGACCGCAATTCTCTGAAAATTATTCACCGATTGCTTTGATATTTTGACAATTATACCCTTTTAGTTTATAAATGGAGATTTTTATAGAACCCTTTTGTCTGTAGCTCGGCACTACATCGCTTCAAGTTCAATGGCTATAAGTTGATTAAAAGGTTTAAAATTGCCATAAAATTAGTAGTATGCCTTATTTTTTGATAACCGTTCAAAATAAATCATATAGTAATTGAGTAATTATATATTAATTAATAAAGAATTTTCGAACGACTCATTAGCAAATGAAACTGGGAATTGTGGGTATTTTATGTTGCTTAATAAATTAAATATGCTGATGTTGGCACACTTGTTTTCAGGAGAAGAATGGGCAGTTTTTAAATTAGGCTCGTGCGGTCGAATAAAGAAGATTTGTGTGGACACAGCACATTTTAAAGGCAATTTTCCAGACTCCATAAAAGTTGAAGGAGCTCTGTTGGATAAGGAATGGTCGCAAGCCAAGCCTATTGTTTGGTACAACATTTTGAAACCCAGCAAGGTAAATAATTGATACACATTTGAAATATTTCCGCTAATTAAAATAACAGAGTTGATTTTAATGTAAACAGCACATATGTGGTTACTATTTGCTTATAATAACAACTGCAATATGAAATTTGCATAAAGGTAGCTTTTTAATTAATACTTTGATATATGCTTTCTGATATTAAAATCTAATAAACTATATTCGTTTGGGAAGCTCAGGTATATTTAAATAGATATACCAGCAAACGACGCCATAATGTATTATTTTTAAGTGTTTTCCCATTTTAAAGTTTTTACATTAAACTATATTCAAAATAGTACGATATATCGCACCTATTTGTGTGAACAACGTTCAAATCCTGTAATTATATAAACATGATTTACATGAGATGAAGAGAAGATAGAGATCAAGGGAAGGGAAAAAAATAGTAATTTGAACTAGATTAGGATCCTTACAACCACTTTACCAAGATTTTTTAATTTAACTTTCTTCTAGTACAGTTTATTACTCATATATAAGTACCTATATTCTTGAATTTTCTATAAAGAAACTTATGTATTTATTTCTTTCTCAGCTGTCAGCACATAAAGAGCATTGGTTTGGGTGCAATTCAGATGTAATATCTCACTTAAGAGTCACCATAGCACCTGATGGAGGTATCAGCCGAATAAGGACTTTTGGCCTCCTTGAAAAGATCGTCATTTGATGAATATAAAAATTGATTAAAAACATCGTGCACTCAGCTTTTCCTTATTATGACAAAGTCAAAATTCTGAAGACTTGTACTTATAATCAAGCAAGACTTCTAAGGAATTCTAAGAAATTACAAAGTTAAAACATGCTTTGGGTGCGAATTTCAAAATTTGAGATTCAACATCCAAAGTGGAGTGTGTTAAAAATGTAATTTTACGTGGGCACGTATATATAATTATTCAATTTTTGTACCTGTTAGTTAATTATATTTGTATAAAGACTTTACTTAAAAAACCTGAAGTTTAGGCTTTTGGTTGTATTCTTGAAAGCGTTTTTTATAGCAAGGATTGTTGCAAAATATTTTTATACTGACTTAATTTTAAGTTATAATGGTCGAAGTGCAATTTTTATTAATAGTTTTAGTAATTGTGAAAAGTATTATTAATAATAAATAAACGTTTATTACTTAATTGTTTTTTAATTAGACCATGTTCATATGATGTAATATAAAATAATGTTACTGAATAATTTATTACCTACCTACTTACATATTATTTTAGTAATTTACAGTTAATAACACTAATGTAATAAAATAACAATCTATTAGGTGTATTACAAAATTTATTCATAAATTGTAAGTTTTGTCTAAAAAAATATATACAAAAATATTAAATGATATCTAATAATATCTTACTTTTATAAATTCTGTTAAAAAAAACGTGTGTGTGTAAGGTACTTATGTACGTACGTAAAAAGTTATACTTCTTTGGTGTAACAGAACAAAAATAGCTAAATATTTCATCCCGTATGTCACAACTATCTGTTTGTAAAAGAATGCAGCTAACTTCCTCATGGCGCCTTTTGGCTGTCGGTGTGCGCGCGTATCGTAAAAATTTAACTCTCTTAATTTTTTAAAAATATGCCAAAAGAAGTATGTGTAACGTCAAAAATGAGAATTAAAATCATCTTTATTTGCATTTATTTTCAAATAAGGTAGGTACTCGTTAACCTAAATTGCGTAAAAATATAAATACGTACACTGAAAATTTCAAAGTATAATTCAAAACGAGGGAGATCAGGGCATAGTCACCACGCTGGCCAAGTGCGGGTGGACTGAGCATGTCTTCCAGGAACTTTGTTAGGTTCTCTCTGACTCTGATGTTTTCAATTACCAAAAGACAATCAAACATATTGTACCTACTATAAGTACTCTGTCACTCTTACAACGAAGACAATTTTAACGATTTTAATATTATGTTTAAATCATTTATGCTAATTGTCATTAAAATACAAGATAAATAGCACACGTCCAAGGTTTATGAAGGATTCACTCCCTTTTTTACCCGACTGCCAAGAGCAGGTTACGTTTTTCATGTGTATCTTGTGCAAAAAAAAAAACAAAAACAAATCTATCCCACGGGAACTGTACATTTTTTTGGGATAAAAAGTACCCTTTGTGTTATTCTGATATTTGAGCTACATATTATATTATTGTAGTTTCATTAAAATCCATGTAGTAGTTTTTGCGTGAAAGAGTAACAAACATCCTTACATCTATACAATGTTGCAATATTTCAACAGTTCACATATCGTTAGATTCGTCTCAAAAACCCAAGTGTCCTTAGATAGGTGTTCTAAAGAAATAAAATGGCGAATTTTTGGCGCCAACTTGTGTGTCTTGAAAAAAATATTTTTTTATCTGAATTATTTGAGTGGAGTATCAAAATACAGGGTTTTAAGAGGCGATTAAATATATATACAACTTATACGTTAAAAGTAATTTAGGATACGAAATTATTAAATAAAACTAAAAATGTCTAACTGACCAAAACTAAAAAGTTGTAAATAAAAAAATCATTTACAAAAATTAAAAAATATATCTACTGCGTAAAACGCGAACTAAAAAGATGACAACAAGTTAACGAAGGAACATTCTATTATGCAGTCGGAGACATACATATTATGCACATGTTTTCTAATAGCTACATGTGTATAATTGTATATGTCTTCGACTGTCTGCTAGGTAGTTGATACACTACACATATATAACTTTAAATACATACATATTATAAATATGAATACCATATAAACATTCGTACTCATCTCACGAATGAATAACCCCAGCGATACTTGAACCCGCGACCGTTGGCACAGCAAGTAGGTGACCCTACTACTACAAACTGAGCCAAACGTTTCGTCGAACGGATCATATGGATGAAGTATAAAAAAATTCTAACCAATCAACCAAACATGTAGCTATACTTACTTATTGCTATATGAATTATTTTATTCATTTATTTGTATATATTGATGACCTCAAGGTGCTAGAGGAATTTTTTCAATAATATTATCAAAAGTGTTCAAGTATTAATTTTTTGGAGATAACCTTTAATGTGACCTACTTATGTAGAAAAATTTTACGCAATATCTTTAGTGTACCTATAATAATATATTTTTAATGACCGAAGCGGACAGTGAAGTTAAGATTATGATGCGCCCGAGGTCGCAGATTTGATACATGGAATGAATAGAATTTTTCATTGATTCATACTACCTTCCTATTTTTTCATACTTATTGTACTTACAGATATATTAGCCGTAGTTTGTTAAAGATTAAACGCGGCATTAGAAACCATTAGTCAGTTTTTGTTGATTTAAACGTAGAAAAAGTGTAGAATTTATGAGTAATAATTTACCACAATGGAACAAATAATATATTTTCGATCATTATTTATAGTGGTAAGTACCTACGATTGAAATATTTAGACTTTAGAGCAACACTTCATATTTACCTAAATATTACTTTGTAAAATACCCTATGACTTAGTGAACAAGCCACGAGCACAAGGAATAAAGTCGTTCCAGACGAATTTCCGGTTAAAACTTACTTAATGCTGGCGGTAATCAGATCAATGTGGCAAAGGTTATATTTGTTTGATAAACGACACGCGTACTGTAGCTCGTTTGACTTATTATGTTAATTGAGCAATTTATTTTAAACTAGCAGCTTACCCTCGTTTCGCTCGTGTTCGTCGCTAGGAAAACAAAAATAAACCCATCCCACGGGAACCGTACATTTTCTCGGAATAAAAAAATAGCCCATGTATTATTCCAGACTATAATCTATCTCTGTGTCAACTTTCCTCTTTTGACCTCGATTAGTTCAGCCATTCTGGCGTGAAAGAGTAACAAACATCTCACAAAATTTCACAAAGTTTCACACTCACACAATGGGTAAACTACTGTATTTTATAATGAAAGGAATGTGTTTGCGCACACACTTGAATACCATAGTATCTCCTGCGCAGGTGGCTGTCTCAGTGAGGTTGACCTTTATTGGTAACTTTTATCATTCTGTCTTTGCGTTTTATACTACCATATTGAATATTGCATAGCACTCACAAAAAAGTTGTCCGACGAATTGTATTGTATATTACAAAGGTACACGTATTAATAATATATAATAGCTAATAGGCTATGAAAAAGAATTAATTTATTTTTATTCATAATAATTTCTTAGATTTACGCGAATATTTGACATTTTAAATAAACTATCTTTTCGATTTATTTCGATTTTTGGTTTCCTACGTTTCGAATGCTTTACAGTAATCATTTGTTCTCATATATATATATATAATTATCGTCCTTTATAAAACATATAAATCATAAGGAAGGAGGAATAGACTAATAAATAAATAAGTAGAATAAGTAGATCGGTAGGTTAAGGTTATTTTTGTTTCATATAAAAATTCCGGCACTTAAATCACTTACATCACTTACTTTACGTTAAAAAAACAAAAAAAAAGTAAATATTTGTACAAACTAACAATACTCGAACGAATAATGTATTTTTTATTCATCCGATTATTGGATGAATAACAACAGTCATAATTATTATTGACTGTTTATCCTTTAAAGTACGAATAATTATTTTGTATTCGTCCTAATTTTAAGTATTGTTTATTAGTCTAGTTGTATATTGTTTATTTTATTTTTTTAGAGCATTTAATAAAAAGCTTTTAAAAATATTTTTTGTTAGTGTTAATTTTTAAAAACTTAATTTAGTTAGTAGTAAATATATTTCATGGATTATTATTTACGTAATTATGATACGTCTATAGTTATTAAAAATATTAGCTTAATCATAACGGCTCTGAAGACATTTCTAAAGAAGTATATTTATTATGTAGGATTATGAATGATATTCCAACGTATTTTAATGAGATACCTGCCATTTCTATGTAATTCAAGTCAGAGTATATGAAAGACGTACTTTCGCTCTTTTCTAAGATATAACCCGGTAATTGGATGAAAATCCATAAAAATTGGAGATATTACGTTCTCGAATTTTTTTTATTTTTTTTTATATAAAAAATATCGATATTTCTACGAAATATTTTTTAGTATTTTATTTAGTTCGAAAAATGTAAATAAATTAAATATTGTTTTATTTAAAATGTCAAATATTCGCGTAAATCCAATAAAATATTAAATAACTATCTACTTAACTAAGGCTGTCTTAGAATTACTTAAATAACGATAATTATGTTTAATTTAAGTGATAATAATAATCATAAATTCAATAAATAGGTTGTAAAATGTAAAAAATGCTTCGCGTTCACATAAACAAAAACACAAACAAAGTCTTTAGCTTTATAATAATAGAATTCGTAAAAGATACAGCTTTAGAATTTTTGTTTTGCGGGGATGTCCCTAAAGACAAAAATTCTTAGAATAAATTGAAATTCTAATTAAAATTTTAAGAAAATTGAAATAAACGAATGCGAATCGCAGCATTCTTTTTCGTCAATTTTGCTTAATGCACGGCTGTGTCATCATCTTGTCGTGGTGGGGGATCATTAGCGTCCGGTAAGCCGGGTGTGATGACAAGTGACACACTCGGTGCTGGCCCACTTGGTGACACACTCGGTGGTGGCGGTGTTCAATGCGGGTTACTCCTGCTACTTCTCTGACAGCAGAGTGGACTACGGGAGCAACCCGTTGGTTGTG